AAAAAAAAAAAAAAAAAAGAAAACAGCCTGTACAATGGAACAGAATTGAGAACCCAGAAATAAATACACCCATCTTCGGAGAGCTGATCTTTTACAAAGTACTGACAGTCATTAAATGGGGATGATGCTATCTACTTAACAAATGATGCTAACAAAATGGGATATCTATTTGCAGAAAAATGAGACAGGATCTATGTTTCACATGATAACAAAAAACAAACTCAAGTTGGATGAAAGACCTAAATGTAAAAGTTAAACTGTAAGTACCATAAAAGAAAAATTAGGGACAAACCTAGCCATCCTAATATGCAGCATAAATATTCCATCAAACATAACTAAAAGCCTGAAAAGAGTAGAAGACAAATCAGATCCTTCAGACCCCCAAATTAGACATTTATTCCTATCAAAAGATTTCAGTACAATAATAATAATATACTCAGTACAATAATAATATGCTATTGATCAAGGGTTCATGAAGATGGGTGGGGGTTGGGGGGAGGAGCTTATACCAAGGGCTAAGATGTTTTGGAAATGATGATGGCAACATATGTACAAGTATGCTTGATGCAGTTGATGTATGGAATGTTACAAGAGCTTCAAGAGCCCCCAATAAAATGATTTTTTTAATTGAATTAAATTTTTTAAAAAGATTTTATTACTGTAAGAAAAAGAGAACCTGGAAAATAAAAATAAACTGGAACAAAATTGGCAATAACATATTGGACAAGTTATTAACTTCTAAATTTATAAGAAATTGCAGCATCACAACAACAACAAAAAACAAATAATTCAATCAAAATGGGCGGAGGGCATGAACAGACACTTGACAAAAGGAGACAGGCAAGTGGCCAACAAAAACATAAGGAAATACTTATGATCATTAGCCATTAGAGAGATGTATATCAAAATAAGAATGAGATATAATTTCACACCAGAATTAATAGCAAGTTAAAAAAAAATAGAAAGTCCCAAATGCTGGTGAGGGTACAGAGAGACTGGAATTTTCTTTTTCTTTTTTTTTTTTTTTTAACATTTTATTAGGGGCTCATACAACTGTTATCCCAATCCATACACACATCAATTGTGTAAAGCGCATTTGTACATCGTTTCTCAAAACATTTTCTCTCCATTTAAACCCCCGACATTAGGTCCTCATTTTTCCCCTCCCTCCCCGCTCCCCCCTCCCGCATGAGCCCTTGATAGTTTATAAATGGGTATTTTGTCATATCTTGCCCTGTCTGACGTCTCCCTTCATCCACTTTTCGGTTGTCTGTCCCCCAGGGAGGAGGTCACACACAGTTCCATGTAATCAGTTCCCTCTTTCCTACCCATTCTCCCTTTACCCTCCCTGTTTTGCCACTCACACCACTGGCCCTATAGGGCTCATCCGTCCTGGATTCCCTGTATTTTCAGTTCCTATCTGTACCAGTGTACCTCCTCTGGTCTAGCCAGACTTGCAAGATCGAATTCGAGTCATGGTAGTGGGAGCGGGGAGGAAACCTTTAGGAACTAGAGGAAAGTTGTATTTCTCATCATTGTTACATCGCACCCTGCCTGGCTCATCTCCTCCCCGAGACCCCTCTGCAAGGGGATCTCCAGTGGCCTACTAATGGGCTTTGGATCTCCACTCCGCACTCCCCCCATCATTCACGAGACTGGAATTTTCACTCATCACTGTTGGAATTGTCAAATGGTTCTACCACTATGGAAAACAGTACGGCTCCTCTTCACCCAGTGATACAACTTTCTGCCAAACAGTAGACAGATCCGTTCGTGGAACAGTCACATTCGTGAGGTGTGCACACCTTACAAGAATCAACCATTCGGGATCAAGGAGGCAGCTTTTACTTGAGGACAAAGTTCAGAAAGGTTCGGAAAAAAGGAGGAATGGAGACAGGAAAGAGAAGGAGGAGGCAAGATGGGTGATGTTATGAATGAGATGAAACAGAATGTGTATGCATCCTAAACTGATGATGTGCTCTCTAAACCTTCAACGATTCTCAATAAAATGTTAGCAATGGAAATACCATGTGATCCAGAAATCCTGCTCCTAAGTGTCTCTCCTGGAGATGTGGCATGAATCTACACACTGGATGGTGACACTGAGACATAAGGATGCCCTGGTTCGTGGCAGCACTACTATCAGTAGTCAAAGAAACAAGGGAAACCACCTCGATGGCCAGTACCAGAGTGGATGGCAAGGGCTGACACACGGACACAGTGGACTACCTTACATGATTAGGAGTGATGATGCCTCTGAGAAATCCGTCAGACACGGAGTACACCTGGGAGGCCTGGTGATGAGTGAAGTCACAAAAAGACACATACTGTAGATCATGGAAGGTTTTCATGCCCCAAACGTATTTTTTGTAGTTACCAAGAGTGCAAGGGAAGGGAAGCTACATCACTCCTAGACCGTGCAGTGTTTCCCACGGTGGGCGATACCACCCCCTGGGGCACATTACAACAATCGGGGAGCTGCGAATGCACATACCTTTGTGATTGGGAAACTGATTTGCTGTATAAACCTTTACCCACTCACAAAAAAAAGTTTTAAAAAATCAAGTGTATAATACCTCATAGGAAGGGGGAAAGTATCAGGAGAAAACGCTGCTCATATACCCATGTGTGTGTAATAGTCCACACTATCAACACAAGCTCCTCGATGCAAAGAATCCAGCATCAATCTGCACAAAGGTCACACCGATTCCTACCCTCCAAAAAACACCAAATTCACTGCCGTGGTAGATTCTGACTCCTAACAAACTCTACAGGACGGGACAGAACTGCCCCTGTTGGCTATGCAAATTAGTACACTTCCCAAAAAAGTTCCTTTGTAACCTGTCTTCCATCGTTTCTTTTGGTTTCTCAGAGCTTGTTCTAGACCTGCCTTTTTCAGCCTCCTTTTACCTGTTATTTGTGTTTGCTTCCATTTCTCTGTTGAAGAGATGTACTTGAATGTTAATGCTCACTTGACTTTTCCTACCTGATTTAAATTGCGCCATTTTTCTGCCCTGGTTCAAATCTAAGATCGTTTTGTTGCTTCTTTGTAAGGTTATCTCCCAAATTGTCCAGTGTACATAAACAAAACCTCCTCACTCAGAGCAGATAGCTCTAATGATTTATCAACCAGATCTAGATGGTGTGGTACACCCTCCTTCAAATTCCTTCCTTCCCATCTCAAACTGTCTCTTTATAGTACATTGTCTCATTCAGTCTTTTAGCTTTTCAATCAAGAACACCAGTTAAAAGACATCACTGGTCCCCTGACCTCAGCATAAGCATTGCAGTACAGCAGACTGCAAAATGTGAAAGTATCACAGTCTAGTGGCAAGAATGCAACTACTGATCAAATGATGGCTTTTCGACTTGTTCAGTTCATTTTGATTAGTGTGATTCTAGGTAAGGGATTTATTCTTCGGCTGTTCCTTACAGTTTTCCCTCTCCTACAACGAAAGAGCATATTCGCCAGAGATACTCATCTATCATTTTCTTTTCTTTTCCCAACAAATGTGCCCTGAAGTGTGGTTTCTCATTAACTTTATAAATATCTTCCCTTTCCTCGGCCTGGTAACTTGGCTTCTCTTTCTATCACTTAACCACTACAAAGTCCCCCAATAGTCTCAACTTTTCTTTATTCCATCGTTGAGGACTGCCGAACTCCTGAATTTGTAATTTTCTTGCTTATGTTGTTTTTAATACAGTCTATCTCACGTAAGCATTCTACCCAAATTCCAGAGCATCTCCCTCGTGCCAGCGCTGTGCCAACTGCTGAAGACAAGTCATGGGTCCTGTCTTCATATTGCATGCAAGCCTAGTGGCAAAGCCAGACAGGAATCAAATAGTCTCACATACCAATGGAAAACTGTGACTGTCATAAGAATTGTGAATGGGACAAACATTTTGTTGTAAGAATATGAAATAGGAAGATTTGATTCTACATCAAGAGTGAGGCTGAGTAAATTTGACCAGTTGTTTCTTTCAAGTATTGCAGTCAGTTTATGTTTAGCATCGAAAATCCAAACCTGTTGCTGTTGAGTCAGTTCAGACTCATAGTGACGCTATAGGATTCTATAGGACTCAGTAACCCTATAGGATAGATTCTAACTGCTCTATAAGGTGGCGGAGTGGCTCTGTATTGGGCTGGTCGTTTCAAGTTTCAGTGTTCACAACCACCTAGCTGCTCATGCCCAGCTAGCTGCTCGAGGGGAGAAAGAGGAGACATGCTACTCCTGTAGGCAGTTCCGGTCTTGGAAACCCCAGGGCCGTGCCCCTGTAGGGCCTCTAAGTGAGAACTGACTGGATGGCAGTGAGTGGCAGGGTTTCTAAGGCTGGCAATCACGGTGGACACAGACTGCCACATCTTCTCTAGCAGAGTGGCTGATGGGCATGACCTGCCCACCTCTCAGTTAGCAGCCAAACACAGAGCTACTATGCCACTTTGAAATTTGTTGCCGTATGATTTATAATTCATATACAGTGTACATTCGCTACAGGAATACTCTGAATTTTACTATGCAAAACTTGCTTATACCACTTTTCTTTTTTTTTCAGAACTGTTAGAGCGATCTCTAGCCCTTCTAAACAAAAGTCAACAGCTCACGGAGTTCATAGATAAATTCAAATGCGATGGTCCTAATGTGAATCCTGAGTTGATCCAGGGAGCTCATAGCAGTTGCATGAAGATCGACAGCCTTCTTGAGCTTCTTCAAGACAGGAGAAGGCAACTAGACAAGTACCTGAAGCAACAGAGGCAGGAATTGGAGCAGGTTATGCAGATTTGTCAGTGGGACCAGCAGGAAAATCAGGTAAGCCATGGAGCTATTGGTGAAGTCCCTGCCTCAACAAATGATGCTCGGTCATTTTGCGGATTAGCTATTCTCTGGAGCGGCTGCTCAAGCAGTTGTGGTCAAATCGCTGGTCTGGTTCCAAACCTTTGGTCCAGAATACCATGTCGTTTGTCCAAGTGAGTAATAGCCAAACAAGATTTATCCCTTCTGATTATTTATTGATTTTACAAATGGGAGGACAGCAGTGGGTAGTTTTGAAAGGAATTGTATTCTATTGTTAGACACTCTTTTCTCACTTCATTTCAGGTCACTACTTATTAGACCCATTTCTTTGAAATTCTGAAATGTTCATTGCAGTTTCCTTGAAAGTGGGACAGAAATGAGGATGCCGAATTTTACTAGAGTGCTGTTAGCCTCAGTTAAAAGTTCAAAACTAACATAGTGCTCTTTGAATAGTACTCTGGTAAGAAGAAATATTGCCTTGACCCATGTGACTAGATGCCCAGTGATTAGAGGGATTATTTTTGTGGGGGGAGGAGAGGGGTGTGTGGATTTGATACATTTGCAGGCTTGCTGCAGCTCAGTATCCAGCCTACAGACACAATTCTGCTCAATTGTCAATAAGCTTGCCGTACATTTCTTTGATCCAATCATTTGTATGTAACCATAAGCAGAACTCTCTTTTTAAGTCCTCAATTCAAATAGGTGGAATATTTATTGCGATATTTCACATTGTCACAACCCCACACTCAGATAAGGTGGTTGGGATTTTAAGGAAGTGAGTGATGTAAGAGAGGTTTTCTGGTCTAAATGGACTAGAAACAGATCTTTATCTGTGCTTTTATGTTACCGCTCTGAGCCAGGAAGAAATAGGAAGCCAAGATCAACAGGTTCTTATTTAAAGATGGAAGAGTAAGAATTATCATCAGTCTTTTGATGATCCCTTATAATGCAAGGTTTCTCAAGCTTTGCACTACTGACATTTAAAACAAAAAATCCAAGTTCATTGACATGCAGTGGATTCTAACGCCACATTCATCTGGCCCTTGTAGAATGGTGAGCAGAAGGGCTGTTCCTTCCCCACTGGTGACTATAGCACCCTCCCCAGTTGTAACAACAAAACCATCTCCAGGCATTGCCAAATTTCCTTTGAGGAGCAAAATAACCCCACAGTAGTTCAGAACTACTGTTCTAGTGTGATGAAAGCAGCAGTCCTCTTAAAATGTAAAAAATTCAGGGAGGTATTTTCTGTATGTTCGACTTTTCCCCCCATCTTATATTTTATTATACTTGTAATATGACTTATTAGTACATATAATTTATAGCATACAATATTCCATAAGAACAGCAACTAAAAAGATGAACTTGCCGATACTACTTAGGTCCAACCAACACCTCATGGAATTAGTTATTTTATTTTCTAAGTGATTTTTGAAATTGCGAATTAGGTAGGGGGATTTACATTGCAGACCACCAACTCTGCATTCAACAATTAAAATCACTCATCAACTACCATCACCCAGTGTTCGATGCTAGGCACCCCCCCATCACCACCACTTTCTCTTTTCCCTCTTATGGAACTCTAGCTTCCTTCTCCTCCAAGTCAACACCTGCCAACATTCTAGTTCCTTTGCTCTATCTTCCCATGTTTCTGGATGAACTGCATGATATGATCCTTGAACAATATGGAACCTGGAGAAAGAAATGCAGCAGATATGCTTCATTGGAGGGTAAAGAACTACTCATCATCGTGGAAACATGACCAACAAAATTGAGTTTTGGTCAGCTCTGTCCTTACTGTAAGGGAACATAGAGCCTTCAGACTTGGGATTAATAAAATGCTGGTTTTGGCCATCATTTTAATCACTTCAGAAAAAGGAAAATCATGTGGTGAATTAGAGCCAAGATTACTGAGGAACAGTCATGTGGCTATCTGAACATCTGATGCATGCTCTCTCTTAGGCGATTTGAAGATGCACTTAGTGCTTCTTGGCTTTTAAGTGCTAATGGCCTAACATTTTTTAATAGGTTCTTTCTTTTATTCTTTCATTTTTCTGATTATTTTTTAAGTCATTTTACTGGGGGCTCATTCAATGCTTATCACAATCCATACACCCATCCAGTGTGTCAAGCACATTTGTACATTTGTTGCCATCATCATCCTCAAAACATTTGCTTTCTACTTGAGCCCTTGGTAGCAGCTCCTCATTTTTTCCCTTCCCTCCCCACTCCCTCGTGGACCCTTGATAATTTATAAATTATTATTATTTTGTCATGTCTTACACTGTCCGACATCTCTCTTCATCCACTTTTCTGTTGTCCATCCCCCAGAGAGGAGGTTATATGTAGATCCTTGTAATCAGTTCCCCCTTTCGACCCCACCTTCCCTCCACCCTCCCAGTATCGCCACTCTCACTGCTGGTCCTGAGGGGTTTATCTGTCCTGGATTCCCTGTGTTTCCAGTTCCTAGCTGTTGGCTAACATTCTTGACAACAGGTCAGCTAATTTTCCCTCAGAAAAGAATAGAAGTGACCAGAATGCTGGCAACTTAAATAAGAGTTACAGCATTAGCAAGAAAAAAGAAAGAACGAAAAGTAGATGAAAACCACATACTAAAAAAACCAAGAATGTCTTGTTGGGAGGAGATAGCCTGACAGACGTAAACATACCACATTAGCTTTAAAAAAAAAATCATTGTTTTCCAGACGCAAAACTGTGCACTTGCTTTTCCTCGAACGACGAGCGGCTGGCCTTTCTCTTCAACAACAGCAGCATTTTCTTTTGTAGATAATCTGCTTCATTAATGAAAATCAGAAGCAGCTTGGAGTATTTCGTGCATAATTAATTATCTTGGCAAGAAGATTTATGAATGTAATTGTTCTCAATTGCGCCAATCAAGCATAAGTGAGACAAACAAATAAATTAAAACTAAGTTATTCATGGTTTCTTTGTACAAGACAGTGTCAAGGACGCCGTAGAGAATTAAATAAGACAAGAGGACAGACGATTTCTTATGACTAGCCAAATCACACAAAGGTTGCAGATCTCTAGGGGGAAGACTGGTGAGCAACCATCAAACTGTATTCTCTTTTATTCATTTATTCTTTTAATGTTCTCTCTCATATGATGCCATTGTCTACACAGGGTTTCAAATGATTGAATGGCCTAAATAAGTTAGCAGATACAGATGAAGAGCCTGGTGACTAGAACACATAAGGGTTTAAACACCAGCAGGCATAACCCCGGATTATCTTGATGATACTAGCACCCGTTAGTTCAGTCCAGTAACATACATGAATATCCAACATCTTATTTAAAAGTCCTCACAGAATTCCATGTCTGTGATGGGCTGCCTCTAGTTCACAGTAACGCACGCCAGCATCAATGCAGTTTCTTACGGTGATTGCTGCATGTTTTTGTAAGCTCTGGGAACCTTTGCTTATTAGAATGCAACCCCCATGGCTTTTAAGATCACTGCACATAGAAAGAAGTAAGGCAGCCCAGGGACTGTGGGAACAGACAGCACGCCTTTCAATGCCAGCTTCTCCATTTCCTACGTCTGTGACAATTTACAAGGCATCGGTGTCTCAGTTTTGTATAAACAAGGAAGATAGGAGTCTCTATATGTTGTTGTAAAAACAAAGTCGATTGTGTATGTAAACATGCATAGGGAACAACGTGGCAGGTGGTGGTGGTAGATGCTGTCCTTGTGACCCAATGTACAACACAGGGAACACTGTCCCATCCTGCACCTGGCAGAGGTAGGTGCTCAGAAACTGCCCAGATGCTCACCGCTTCGTTACAGACCTGGGTGGTCCCTTTCTGAGCTGCACTGGTTAATCCCACTGATTGGCCGGCTGACACCTCAGTTCTCTGAATCCCTGGGTCTCCGAAGCTTTCTAAAAGGTCGCTATGATGGAAGGGGAGACAAATGCTATTTTCTAACTGGGTATTCAGCCTACTTTACTCAAAAGTTATTTGAAGGAGAAAGTAAAAATAAAAACCATCTCCCTCACTTTCTCCACTCTATTTCTTTAGCATATGTACACTTACTCCTGTTCACGACAAACAAACAAACAAAACCAGCAAATCCAACAACCCGTTTCTGAGGCGGAGTCAATTCTGACTCGCAGTGACCCTACAGGAAAGACGAGAACTGCCCCATGGGGTTTCCAGGGCAGTAATCGCCACAGAGGCAGCTGGGCAAACCGTTCTCTCCTGGAGCAACTGGTGAGTTTGAACTGCTGACCTTTGGGTTAGCAGCTGAGCATCATAACCATGGCACCAACAGGCTTCTCAGAGTTGATTACCTTGCCATTAAATCTAGGTAGTGTGCCACTGTTCAGCTGAACTAAGGCTTAAGAACATTTTAATTAGGCACTCCTATTTATATTTACGTTTCCAAATGCGTTAAGGGGATTAGGCACACACAGCATGACTAAGTTACATTCTCACAAGTACTAGGGCTGTCGCCAAAGCTACCTGACGTGTGTGCTCTCTGGACAAGGCTACGTAAGTTCTCCCTGTGCCAACTGCATCCACTCCCTGGTCTCATGCCCGCCCAGTGCATGACAACGCTGCAGTTGCTGTGGACCTGGGCGCAGTGGGTTGGGGTTTGAGCAGCCAAGCCCCCAGGGCTGCCCGGGCAGCTCCTCCCATCCCACTTAAATTTTTTCCTTCCTTGTCTCCTGTGCTGATGTTCTCTTTCTTTCCATGCCCCCTCCACCCTCACAGGCGTCTTACTCTCCACCTTCTTTCCTCCCCATCGTCTCCAATTAAATTTTTCTATAGGGGCGCATTTCCCTAAGAAAGTTAAATTAACACCATATTTTGAAAAGATTAAAATAGCCTACAAAATTTAGCAGTTATATACCTTGTTTATACATCCCCAATCCCCTCCCCCCCATAACAATCCTTAGCAAAGGCCAAAACCTCAATATGAAACTCATTAGTATCATGCCCTAGAATCAGAATGATAAGGTAGAAATATCAAATTTTGGCCTAATTCTTAATAACTG